ATGGGGCTGTTCTCACAAATGAGGTATGATTTAGTCCTATTTCATTATAGAAAAAGGGAAACAAATCAAACCAATTGCTCACTTTTTAGAGCTCAGGGCTACCATTCTTGCTCACTGGTCTCAGTGGGATTATTGCCCAAGTAAGAATGACTGTATCAGGGCCACAGGGTCTCTTCAGCAATATCATTTTAAACACAGTTAGTTACAGTTTGCCTATTGACAGCCCTTCAAATCAATGAGGTCTGAAAAGTGGGATTGAGGGCGGGAGGGTGAAACAACTGGGGAAAGTCAAAATCCAAGTTTATAATAATGAGAAGCTAGGTACAACCTTAACTATGTAACAGGTTTCAGAGTAGCAGCGTCTTAGTCTGTATCCACAAAAAGAACAGGAGTACTTGTGGCACCTTAGAGAATAACAAATTTATTTGAGCATAAGTGGATTGCCATACCAATTCTATTAATAGCTCATCTTAATTAATTAGCTCTTAGAATTGGTATGGCAACTTCCACCTTTTCATGTTCTCTGTTTGTATATATATCTTCTTAATATATGTTCCATTCTATGCATCTGATGAAGTGGGCTGTAGCCCACTAAAGCTTATGCTCAAATAAATTAGTTAGTCTCTAAGGTGCCACAAGTACTCCTTAACTATGTAGTGGCACTAATAGCATCATTATCCAGTCACTGGGTCAGGTATATAAACCAGATTGATCATGTCACACTTCTAATTAGCAGGAATTAGACTCGGTAAACAATATGACCTACTCTGTTAATTTTAAGTTAGTTTAACAAAAAATAAGGTCTAACTTAATACTCTTAAATAGTAATCAGTGAACGATTTAACTTAAGCAGTGAAATATTTGTAACATGGTAACAAATTTTGCTTTGGGTTTTTATTTGACTTTACATGCCAGCAAGATATGAGAACAGCATAAAACGTACTAGTAAGGTAACTTTATCTAGACGTCGTAATACAGAATCTACTATAGCTGTCTGTAGTCTCAGGGATGTTTCAAACTTGAGAAGCATAAGGGAAAAATACAACTTTCAGTGTACCAACAGATCTAAAATTTAGTAACCCTAGTGCTAAGCACTCTACACATCATTCATAAAGCAAAAAGTGTCAGTAATAAACACAGCAAAAAATATCTCTAGGCCAATTAACCATCACACAAGGAAAATATATCAATATTTCTTCTGGGTATTTCCTGCACTAATACTTCCTGATGATGATGATTATTGTATTCTTCTGGGGGCCCCCAGCGTTACTGTAATACAATCAGGACTGAAGCCCCACTGCGCTATGTTTTGTGCAAATACAAAGTAAAAAATGACCCCCTCCATGAAGAATGTCCAATAATCAGCATTTTTTTATTGCGAATTATACAAATACCTCTTACTAAGTTTCAGTGCCTCCACAAAGGTCATTAAATCTCACAGGATAAATGTCAATCCAGTGTCAGGCCCACAAAATTTCCTTCGATGCCGTCACACATCACTGGAAAGATCAGTGTGTTAGAGGTTCACTGGGTACCTTCTCTTGATACACAGGTTAAACATTGGTGAGACAGCTCCTGCTGAGGAACAAGGAAAGAGTCCAGCTATTAAATAGTTATTTTGCCTTTGGGAATAAAGATCTGAACAAGCCCGAGATCAATTTTTCAGTGGGAGCTACAGCAAATAGTGTGCGGGAAGCAAAACTGGTTCTAAAAAGAATAGATGCTGTGAAAAGGAGACCAAGCATAGGGTCTAGGAAACACACATCCGTGAGTTTTAAAAGACTTGATCAAGGAAATCCGTGAACCCTCACTAACAGTTTCATTAGGGTGAGATTCCTAAAGACTGCAAGGTTGGAAATAAAGTGTTGAAGGACTCAAGGGACAAACTACAAAGTGAATTAAACTGCATTAACGAAGGGAACCCTTGGAAAGTATCTTGAGGGATGTGGTTGGAGAAGACCTTGTTTTGCTGAACAGTAGCTAACATGGAGTCATGCAGGAAGGGGGCCAAACTCACTTAACTTGCTGATGTGCTTTGATGATACTACTGCTATGGTAGAGGATATTCTGAGGATAAATAGTACTAGGATAGTGAGCTTTTGAGAAAGTTCCACGTCAGATTAGAGAAAGAGTTAAGCTAAGGTTAGAAACTGGAGGTGGAGTAACTATGGCGCTGAATAGAAAACCGGGACAAAGGGAAAAACTCACTCAGTAGGACTTCATATAGTTACACATGGAATTAACTTGATCCAGAGCATAGCTATAAATGATTTTTTTTTCTATTTAATTCATAGATTTTTAAGGCCATAAGGGACCATTCGCTCATCTTGTCTGATCTTCTGAGTACCACAGGCCATAGAACTTCACCCAGTTACTTTTGTACTGAGTCTAATAACTTACGTTTCATTAAAGCGTATCTTCCAGAAACTTGAAAAGCGTTAATGAATGGGACGGGTGGGGAGACAGAAAACAATTTTCATACCTTGATAGGCCTTTAGGTCGCCACTGGTAAATGTTCTGACTGCAAGCTCTGCAGGGCAGGGACTGTGTTTTATTCCATGACATGGAATGCTCCAGGTACACTTGCAGCACTCGCTAAGAGTACATCTACGCTGCAGGTAGGAACCTGCTTCCCAGCTTAGGTAGACAAACACATGCTAGCTCTGCTTGAGCTAGCATGCTAAAAATAGCAGTCTAGCCAGGGATAGCTCTGGCTAGCCACCCAAGTATATACGCAGAGTGTCTGGGTGGGGTTGCACTCAGGTGGCTATCCCAAGCTGGTGCCTTTACTCCCCCCAGCTACACTGCTATTTGTAGTGTGCTAACTTGAGCAGAGCTAGTATGTGTCCATCTACCCAAGCTGGGAGCACGTAAATGTATCCCGAATGTTCACTATGTGCATACAATCTGGCAAAAGGACTGAAGCCGATATCTCCACGTTTGTGATAATACTAAAGAGAGAGAAAGATAGAAGGCACAGATATCAAGGAAGAATGTAAATGGACTCCGAAGTGTTTGGGATCATTACTGTGTATTCAGATGGGAGATGTAGTACAATGTAAGACAAATGTAGACCTATCTTGTAGCAAAGAACCAAATTGGGGAATGTGGCCCTAATCTAGCAAAGTGTTTAAGCATGTGTTTACTTTAAGAACCTGAGTAGTCCCATTGAAGTCAACAGTAATACACATGCTTAATGTTATGTACATGTTTATGTGCTTTGCTGGATTGGGATCTATGTGACGAATGAGGTAGTCTTCTAGCACATTGACAGGGCCGGCTCCAGGCACCAGCTAAGGAAGCAGGTGCTTTGGGCGGGAATTCGGCGGCCGGTCCCTCAGTCCCTCTCTTCCTCTTTGAGCTGCTGCTGAAGTGCCACCGAAGAGGAAGAGATGGAGTGAAGGACCTACCGCCGAACTGCCGCCAAAGAGAGTGGCTTCTGTGGCTTTTTTCTTTTTCTTTTTTCGCTGTTTGTGGTGGCAGAAAACCTGGAGCCGGCCCTGCACATTGATCAGGGAAAGTCTGTGAGGATTGTTGTGGAAACCTCTTGAAAAACATCAGCTAAGTACATGCTACACACAGGAAAGTTAAAGAAATCAAGGTAGTTTTAGCAGATGGAGACTACAAAGTGTCACCATTCTTGGATACGGACATCAGTGTGTGTTAAATGACACTGATTGACTTCAATAAGAATTGTGAGCGATTAGCACCTCTAAGGAGCAGTACACTAGTCAGCCATGAAGCTGCAAATAAGATCCAAGATTAATGCTGCAGACAGCTAAATTCTTAAGGACTTGGTGGTGCAAGATATAAATAAGCCAAATAAATGGATGGTTTTTCCAAACAGTGTGATTCACTTTACTGACATTCTATTAAAAACTACAGATTGACCATGCTTATTATAAAAGATTTGTACTGATTAATACACCAAATCAGAATTAGACCCTCTATCTTTGCTTGTTTGTCAGACAACTTTTCAGGATGATGATAACTGTTGTTTTTGTCTTTTCTTTTGTTTCAGGATCCACAACAACTATTTTATTTATTTTCTTACATGGTCTAAAACAACCTGACAAATCCTCTGCTACCATGAAGACTTTGCTTAAATTACAGATTCTCAAATCCTTGTGGATTTCCAAATCAAGTTGTAGGCTTTTCCATAAACAGCCCAGGCTTCTTGCCCCAGAGCTATTTTCACATGACGAATCTATCAAGCAGGGTGAACAGCAAGTGCCCGAATACTTTAACTTTGCAAGTGATGTGCTGGACAAATGGTCTCAGATGGAAAAGGTAAAATCTCTGTCATCGGGCAGATTAGAGATTTTATTTCTTTTTGAATAACTATGTTTGTCATTTATTTAAAAGACAAATCAGTTTCTGAAGATAATTTGCATTTGAAATTATCATGCTTCTCGTGCTTTATCATTAGACGGGCTGGGTTCCTTGGGCTAAATCTTGTTCACTTTTCTCCCATCAAAGTCCTATTGGGACTCCTGGTATAGGTACAGCAGAAAGGTTAAGCAGGGTCGGCCCACAACATTTTGGCACCTGAGGCAGGGAGCTCAAATGATGCCCCCATGCCCCTCGCTTGGGCCAACATTTTGAAAGGTCTCAATTCTGCCTTCTTCCTGTTCTACTCCTCTCATGGTACTGCTCTGCTACCTACCCCAATAAAGGAAAACTTAAC